TGAATCTCTTTACCCAACACTCATTTGAAAGGGAAGTAAGCTCAACAATTATCAAACAAGAGATTCATCGAAACCCAACTTTTCTTAGCATATATTGCGTACGTATGGTATGAATTCTTATAAACTTTCTTCTGTCTATAAAAAGACAAAGAAATCGTGAAGACAAAGATGTTATGGCCTCTAGTTTGGTTGCAGTCTCCTTTCGATGTGCAGAAGTGATCTGACCTCGTTGTGGCAACATGCTTGTGTTGCTGCGGCAGTTTGCTCTTAATACGAAGTTCATGTTGACGCAATCCACAAGAAATCCTCGCTAGGTTCGGTCAAAATAAGGTGAGTTTTTCTCCGTCATGTTAATGGACAGAGTCAAGAAGAGTACTCTGATTAATATGAGAAAGCACTAATCAAATCATCTTATAACTCACTGCATCTACATATATGAGTTGTATTCACTTTATTTCGTTTAAGATGATGAAGGACTGGTAGTTGATTTTGTCCACAATGATATGAGTAGAATTGACGTTTTCATTGCATTTCACATAGCATTGCTTTCCCAAAAGATATTCTCATCCAGGATGGACTGGAGTTTCGACCTTGCATAGGTCTTATCAACACTCCAAGCGGGATTCGAACCATGACAGTGCTGCGTGTAAGCTCGGCACGTTACTCACTACACCACAATGCCACGAGCACCCTTGGGTCACAGGGCGGATGTGAATTTCAAGTAATGTCAGGCATTTTCCATATTCCTTTATGTGCTATGAAGCAAACTTATATTTGCTATACGACATTACTTTCTTCGTGAGTGAGTAGGTTTTCAAGACTACCGGTAAATCAGATGAGTTGGCACAAGTGCACTCATGGCGATGTGGCGTAGTGGTTAACGTGTTGAGCAGGCATGCTGCACTGTCATGGCTCGACTTCCGCCGGGGGTGTTGATAAGACCTATGCGAGGCCGAAACTGAAGTCCACCCTGAGTGAGAACATCTTTTGGGGAAGCAAGACTATGTGAAATTCAATAGAAACGTCAGCTCTACTCCTATCATTTTGGGAAAAATCAGCTACTAATCATTCATCACCTTAAACGAAATAGAATGAATACAACTCATATATCTGATTTACTGGCAGTCTCGAAAACCTACTCACTGTATCTACGAAATTGATGAGTTTACTTCCATTTCAAGTGATAGCCTTTGGTGAAGATATTCGAAGGCTGATCATACCAGAAGACGATGGCGAATTACTCTTTACCAGATTTCGATTGGATTTACTTGGTTACACCGTTTTCGAGATAATCACTTTTGATTTCGGTGAAAACGTCGTCATCAGAGAAGATTATCATCCTGACAGTTATATTCAAGCTTACGAGTCAAGAAAACTCACCGGCTCACGGTTAGTTCACGTCATGTCAACCTCAGAGCTTGAAAGTAAGCGAATTATCCTGTCCCTTATCAAGGAGCTCAGATATACAGTATTTATACAGCATTTAGGAATGAGCCTGTGAGTTTTCTTGACTTGTTAGACTGAATATGGTTGTAAGGATGACACCCTGGTCTGATAATATCCGTC